GGGCTGAGCTATGATTTGTCTTAGCATTAAGTCTCAAGCTGAGCTTATGGTTTGTGGTAAACCATGAACTGTAAACCAAGAACAAACCTTAGTTTACAGTTCATGGTTTGTGTGAAGCATTTTAAATCAATGGCCTGGTTCATACATTATGCCAAGTCGTTCTCTGCTTAGCCAATGTATGGTCTGTTTGAATGGAGGAGTGGCTACTCCAGACTGTTGCAGAGCAGTAGAAGGCTTGGGGCTTCATGGGCATGAATCTCATGGTTCCTGAAATTTGTTCTGATTGCCCAGATAAAATTTCACGGCTATACAGTGGTACCTTGGGCTACATACGCTTCAGGTTACAGACTCCGCTAACCCAGAAATAGTACCTCGGGTTAAGAACTTTGCTTCAGGATGAGAACAGAAATCATGCTCTGGTGGCGTGGCAGAAGCGGGAGGCCCCATTAGCTAAAGTGGTGCTTCAGGTTAAGAACAGTTTCAGGTTAAGTATGGACCTCCGGAACAAATTAAGTACTTAACCCGAGGTACCACTGTAATTCTACAGGATGTGTTGCTAGTGTGTGAAAACAGGCAAGATCCCAGGATCCCCAGGCACACACCTCCAGATGGTGGAGACATCAAGCGCCATCCTGGCAATCAGACATCTTCACTTTGTCACAAGCACGATAGCCAGGTACAAAATAAATTTGGCGCCTAGCGAATTTTGAATGCTGCAAGAGAGACTTCTATTTACTAGGAATTCAAATTAGACTTTACCTTCTTCATCTAATCCACCAATTATGTTGTAAACATAGTAAGGGAAGAATCTTCGAGAATACAGGATTGTAGAAAGCATGGCTGCAATAGCTCCAGCACTCATGGTCTTGTTATTGGAATGTTTGTACATCTGGAATCAAATGGCAAAATTGTTATAACAGAAACAAGGTGGAAGTTCGTGCTGAATGTTTCACTGAAATGAGCTGCAGAACAGGCAAGACGGTCAGATTCCGACTACTGCATAAGCAGGCTACTCTACCAACAGGCAAGAAAAACTAGTTATCATTAAAGGGTAAAGGAGTTCCTTAAAACATCTGGCATCACCCAATGTTGTAACTGTACACTGGAACAGCCACATAAGTTTTATATACACCCCTTGGCATTTTTTTAATTAGCGTTTGGCCACCTCCATTTACAGACATATATAAATAAATATAATTTACCTTTAGCCTTGCTTCAATAATTTTAGTAAGTGTAAGGCAGTCTCCGTGAAATCCACTGCAACCAATGACTGTTGTATCTGTCCTGTAGAAATGCAATATTAATATGATTTTAAGTCATCTTGACATGATGAATACTCTCAGATAAGATTTTTTGTTAAAGTACCTTTAGTTGTCAATTATGACACATATTAACTGTAAACAAAAACATCAAAGAATTCCTCTCATTCAAATTTTCATAAAGCGGTATTGTACGAATTACAACTTTACTGTTTAACATGCAGACTAATTCAGTTGTGCATTGATACTGTTTTTATTCAACATGATGATAAGCAACTGTGCTCACTATCACATGGGCCCATGCAATTTGAATATAGTGCTACACAACTGGAGCAATTATATGGAATGCATTCTTGTAAGATGTGATGGTGACGTACTAGCTGTGAAGGCCAAGTAGAACTTACGTCTTCATAGGTCACATGCCACCAAATACCAGTTTCTGGAGGCTTCTCGGCTTCTCAGAAGCATCTGGGAACACATGAACCTTTGGGTCTGATTTTGCAAAGCTTTGCTTACATTCTTAACTCCATGTACTGGTGCCTGAGTGTACTTTGGTTCACTTGATACATTCTCCACCAGATCACAGGTTCTCAAAGACACCACAGTATCAAATCAAGAAAAAGTGGCAGTAATGCACATCTGGACCAGCCGCAAGACTCCGCATAGCATATTATATAGCATATAGTAATTTGCACAAACCCTGCCATTTATAGAGAATGCTATGGAGACAGTATTAACAAGTACCATCATCACAAAAGACCAACTGATGTCAATAGAAAGTTACAAACCAAATGTTTATATCTAGACAACCATTTAAGATCTATTCTACTATAAAGCTAGCAACACAACCCTATGCAGAAGTCCTACTATGTTCAATGGGGCTCACTCCCAAGTAAGTGGATACATAGTATGCCAGTCTAAAACAATAAAACTAAGTCTACAATTCTATACCCACTTACTTAGGAGTATATCCTAATATGCTAAGAATGCATCCCCAGTTGGAACCTATGAGACATGTCTATTAAGAAAACTAAAAGGCTATATATTTCATGCATCAAATGAAATGAGTTATGCAAAAATAAGTGGTGAAGTTTGTGGTACTACTCATACCTAGTAAATTTCTTTCCTTTGCCCTGGAAAATTCTGAAGCAATATTATAGAAAACATTTTGGTTTTGTAGTCTGAAACGTCCATTACGTGCATAAGCATGTAATTGGGTGTTTTTCCTGTTTCACTTTAAAGAATATTACCCAAGAGAAGACACTGACAAAGTGAAACATGTTAGATTGTGAAACTGAAACTACTTATTTAGAAAAGGCTGGGCCTACCAATGTTCCAAGAGCTACTACAGCAGCACAATATTTTACTCAGAAGTAAATACTGCCATGTTCAATGGGGCTTACTCCATCGTAAGTGTGTTTAGGTTTGCAGCCCACATGCACTCAAAAGCATGCCCTGAAACAACTTTTTGTGTACTTGAATAGCAGGCTCCCCCTCTGTTCCACACTGCAATGTGCTTTTAAACAGCTCTTTCATTTTCAAAAGCTGCTTGTCATGAGGAACACAGCCAGAGAATTTCACCATTTTACCAGATGGCATATTAGGTAAGATACAGCCAAGTTAGGCAAAATCCTTGTCAGTTAGTTATCATCCTTCTAGCTAAAAGTTTGAGATACTTGAGTTTATAAGAAATCAAATGAAGCTTATGGAAACACCAGGCTTCAGTGAAGTCCTGTTTCAAAAAGCAAAATTATAGAGAATTAAGTTAGCTGCAACGAAGACATGATGCTCTTGATGACTATAGGGCAATTACAATTTTAGGTTCTCTCAAGTTAAACTTACAGTTTGTAGCATTTTGGACTGTCCCGGCTATGAATTGCATAGTCTTCACTCAGTCGGGTGTCTGAGGCAACAATAGAAAAGTCTTCACCAGCAATTGCCAATATAGTCCTTTAAGACAAAAAAAGGAGCAAATGTTTCTGCGTACTTAGGATTTAGCAAACAATTCAGCTCAGCAACACAAAAACTAGAAATCCTACAAGTATTATAGATTTTGCTTTGTAGTTGTGATTGTTCCAATAAAAACCACATCTAACAAGTATTTGAAGACATAATCGCATAATGCATTGCAGTAATGCAACCTGCAGACTACCAGAGCATAGACAACAGAGGTTACGCTATCTCTGTGCAGATAGGAGCACAGCTGGGCCATCAGATGAAGCTGATGTAAGCACTCTGTGTCACCAAGGCTACCTGAGCCTCAAGCCACAGCAATGGCTTCAGGAATACCCCAAGTAAGGTACCCACTCTTTCAGCAGGAGTGCAATCCTGTCATTTATTGACTCTTGTCATTCTACCCTGAGTTATCGATCCACATTTATACCAGAGAATCAGATACCCTGATTTGAACAGGGGTTGCATTCTGGATCATTTGTGCATGTTAGTGGAATTTGTGCAAGCATGCCACACTCCTGCCCAGATCCAAAAACAGCCTGCACATATGTGGTTGCGCATTCTTTGAAAGCACTCAAAACTGGAGTTTCACTGACATAGCAGCCAGATCTCAGCAATTTTGCTCAAAAACAGAGAGTCTCCCTCCCCCCCCCCAAAAAAAACCCCTTGGTTATTGTTTTTCCTTAGTGCACTTGTACAACTGAAAAAATACTGACAGCACTCTGAATTAAAAGAAAAAGAAAATTGGATATACGTAAGATGAAATACAACTGAGGGAATCAAGGAGGAGACACCCTCACCAACGGGAAAACCTGAAAATCCATGAGAAAAAGGCTGGGCATACTGGGAGGGTGGGATTAAAACTATTTCGCACAAGTCTTGATCTAGAAAAGCACACCGACTCTGTCAAGACCTTCGGGTGAGCACATGGAGACCGTGATAACTGTGGGCTCTCACAGGAGGGCAGCGAGTTGATGCTCCTGGTGATTGTATTCATCTTTAAAGCTGTCCTTAGTGTTTTAAACTTGGAAGCCGTCTTTGGGGGGGGGGACTTTCTACGGCCATAAGGCATAGCTGTCAACTTTTCCCTTTTCTTGCGAGGAATCCTATTCGGAATAAGGGAATTTCCCTTAAAAAAAAGAAAACGTTGACAGCTATGCCATAAGGTGGGGTCGAATTGTAATAAAACAAGCCCGTCTTGAAGACATAAAAGCCAAACACTAGGAAGTAGGGCCGATCGCGTGCGCGAAGCAAAAACCGCCGTAATTTGGGCAGCCCGGACCGAGCAGCCGAATACAAAAGGAGAGGACAGGAAGCGGCGGCCAGATACTCACCCGCCATTGAAGGTGTAAGGGGAGAAGCGGTGTTGCACCGCAGAGCCCTGCTTCGCCTCACAACCCAGGCCAAGCGCGGGCTCGGCGTAGCCTGCTGTCGACAGCATCGTTAGCTTCAGAAACCCCACCGCTTCCCGGACTGCTGCTGCGGCTGCTGCTGCTGCTGTCTCACGGCAAAATGGCGTCTCCGGAAGAGAACCGGTTTCCCAAGCCCTCTCTGGGCAGCATCCTCGACGACTTCCGGCGTCGGCACCTGCGCGTCGCAGCGCCACCTGCAGGCGGGAGGCTGCTAGGACTCACAAGGGGGCACCGGAGACGAAGGAAGGGGAATTCATTTCAAGCTTCAGACCCAAGCGCGCATCCCGGGGAGAGAGAGGCTGAGGTGGCGGCGGCAGCGGTGCTGGGGAGCCCGACTCCCATCCGCGCCAGCCAGCCAGCCTAGCCAATGTTCAGGAGTGACGGCTGTTGAAAAGTGCAGCAACATCTTGTTTGCGCTTTCCCCTGTTTCGTGGTGGTTTTTTCTGCTTCTGCCGTAAAGGTCGAGGCAGAAAAAGACTTGCAGTTAAACGGGAACACGGGAGTCAGACACAGCACTGCGCTGAGGGTTGGAGGCCAGCGTAAGGGGGGTCAGGAGCACCTTCGCTTTGCTTGGAATCCCTTCTTATCCCTGCGGTGCTCTGATCCATTTGCCTAGGCGTGCAGCAGGCGGCTTTGATCGCCGATGCCTCCTAGAGAAGAGCTGCGCTTGGCATCCCGATGCTCATGCTCACCCCTCCTCCCCTTTATGCCCCTTTCCTCTTTGGGGCACGCCAGCCGCGCTCGGAGTCTTTCGAACGCGCCTGCGCGTTTCTTCCGTTCATTTCTCTCTTCCCACCCCACCCCGCCTGCCGGCCGCTGGCGCCCTCAAGAAAGCTGGCGCCCGAGGTAACTGCGGAGCGGCGCAGCGGCTGCTTCGGATGACGCGAAAGAGGCGCGCCGCTCGATGAAGCGAGCGAAGGGGCACAGCTCGGCTCGGGAGAACTTCTGGAGCGGTAAGTTGCCGGTCCGCCAGCGTCGCCCTCGAGGGGAAGGGCAGCCCTGGGAAGGAGCCCAGAGCCGCTGGGCTGAGGAGGTCGGAGGAGGCGCCGTCGCTACGACTGTTCGTACCGCTACGGGCGGCAGACAGGGCTTTCTCCTTCCCGCTCCCCCTTCCCGCCCTTCGGACCCGTAACGTCAGGACGAGGGTTTGGCGGGTCTGTGGGCCGCGAGTCGGGCCCGGTAGCCTCCCTCCCGCCCGCCTGCCTCACTCCCGCTTTTCCCTCCAGCGGAAACGCAGCCGGCGGGGAGGGGCGCCCTTCTCGACACCTCTTTCCCGGCGGCTGCGGGATGGCGATGTCCCCAATCTCCCGCCTCCGCCCGGCTGCGGTGTCTGCTGCCCGTGCGGTTTCCCAGTCCATGGGAACTAATGAGGAGGATCCTAGCCAGTGGCCCTAAGGTAGGTTGCTTCTTGTCGGCCACATGTGCTCCTCCTGCAGCTCCTCACGATCCTGTGCATGCTCTCTGCTTGGAAGCAAGTCCCACTACGCTGAATGGAGTTCCTGCACCGGTGTAGGAGGTGCTCGGAGGGAGAGAGGAAAATAATCACCTTTCTGGGTCTCTGCACGTTTTCCTACAAGTCGTTTTGGCACATACGATTCCGAGAAGCACTCGATGATTCTGTGCAATTTGGGAAGCTGTCCTGCTCCTTTGCCATCCTAAAAATGTTTCGCAAGGAAGGGCCAGTGAAATGTTTGCTGCATTACCCTTCAACTAGTAGAAATGAGTCCAAATTGCCATAGTTTAACATACTTAATTGAAACAGATTACATTTCCGTGGGCACAAGATCACGGAACTATAGAATTGTAGGATTGGAAGGGACACCGAGGATCATCTGGTCCAACTCCCTGCAGTGCCAGTCAGATGCACTGATCCATTGCACCACACAGATTGCTAACCTTTTGTTGCTTAGGCTATAATCCTAAACTTACTGGCAATTAAGTGCCATTTGAACTGTTGTAGTGTGTAATAGATATCAGTGAAACTCATCTATTGGGTGGTTGATGTCAGTCTCTTTGGAGAGATATTTAATTGTGAAACCTGCAGTGGGTACTTAACTGTCTTGAATTATTTCTTCAGCTCTTTCACATATATTCCTATACAAACATAACTTTCTTTAAACATGTGAAGAGAGGGAGTTACAGACCACAAGGAGTAGTGATTGACTGCTCATTTTATAAGAGTTTATACATGTTTTTATATCTGCTTAGATGTCAGTATTGTGTGTGTGCACTGTTAATGTATGTTGAATGTTTTTTGTATTTGATGAAAGCTATAAATAGAGGATGACAAAGTCAATCTGCAAACAGTTGTAATATGCAGTGCTTGCACTCCTTTACACTTGCCTAATTCTTTCAATCTTGAAGTGTTAAATGCTACCCACACTTATTATGTAGCAGTATAACAATAACTGTAGGTGTATCTGCAGCTGGAAAGATTATCCTACTTTGACACCGATATATTTGTGGCATTTGGCAAGACTATTCTAATCCCTGGTGTAGTTCTGTGCCAGTGAAATTAAAATAGTGCTGTTTGGATGGCAGCCTTCAGTGAGTACTTCTATAAAACACTCCTTGAGGAAGCAAGGTTTGTATAGCTTTATTACTGAAGCAATATAGTCCATTCTGTAAAATAGCTTATTCAAATTACTGATGTATGGAGGTGCTTCACAATGTTTCTGGGTTGTTTTTTACTAGGCCTTTAGGCTGTTGGTTTCTGGATGAAACAATCATTTCCTGGAATGTTGACAAATGATGCTACTAGACCAGGGGTTTCCAGATTGCGGTCAGTGGACCACCAGTGGTCTGCGAGCATCATTCAAGTTGTCTGCAACATGTCTGCATTAATTACTCATACTGATTTTTATTTTTATTTTGCTGCCTTTATTTCTTATATTAGATTGTATTACAACTTGAATTCTGTGGAGTTCAAATTGCAATAAAATACAGGCAAGGGGGAATAAATTAAAATACACACACACAAAATGCATAGTACCACACATTCCATTTGCTACAGCAAGCAGAAAAATCATTAAGTGATCTGCCAAGGCCATAAATAATTTTCAAGTAGCCCATTGGCTGGGGTGGGGAAGCACAGAATGGAAACCACTATACTAGATAGTGATGTTCTCGTGGTGTTCATAATCTAAGAGCAGCCATGCTGGAATCAAAGATCTGTGTAAAGCAGCTTATTTTATCCAGTCACCAGCCAGATGCTTTTGGGAAGCCTGATGGAGGGCATGAAGGCATGTTGTCTCTTCTTCCAGGCCACTGTTATTGGGAGGCAGGCTGCCTCTCAGCCTGGATGATCCACATAGAAATGTTTGCCTAATAGCCATTGATAGACTTGTCCCTCATAAACTTGTTGAATCCATCTTTAAAGCAAGCTGAGTTAATGCTGAGTTGTAGCCGTGAATTTCATTGAAGTACAGTACTAGTTTCTAATTTCACTGAATCTTCTTCCAATCAGTTTTTTTAAGGGTGTCCCAAACCCAAGTGTTACATGAACGAAATGAAATACACTCTTTCATTTTCTCCACACTATGCATACTTTTATAAATGTGTATTGTGCTGCACCTTTTACAATTATATAATTTCTTCCCAAGATGGGACAATCAGAAACGTACACAGTAGTTCAAGTGTATATATGCAGCCATATACTTGTACCCATGAATTATAATATTGACAGTTTTTTAACTGACATTTAATATGCACACACGGAACATACATTATTTCTTAATTCAATTTAAAGTACATAAGCAACCTTAAACATAAATGCCAACATATTTCTACTTTCCTTTAGTAGGGAGTAGGTCTTATTCAAATCATTGGACTTATTTCTCAGTAAACAACCTTAGAATTGCATTTTTGCTCTCTTAAACTCACTCAGTTTTATTGTGCAGTTTTGATCTATTCTTTCCATGTAGGCGTTTTTGGAGTTTGCCAGCCTTTGGCCATAAGCAGTCATCAATAAACAATTACTAAGGGATAATGTTCTTTCAATACAGGTGCATGCACATGACTTCTCAAAATAGTTTCATACTCAATGATACAGCTAGACATTTTATTGTTCTTTTTCCTCACAATTCTTGATGTCTTATTTTATGTTCATTTCCAAATAACCCATAGCATGGATTTTTGCCTTTTTCTTTCCATGCCCTGAGTTGGTTCCATTGAGCTGTACAGCACAACCCCAACATTTTTTCTGGTTAGTCAACCAGCGTTAGAAATGACACCTTAAACCTATGTTGTGGTTGCCACCACGAAATATCTAGGCACCATAGTTTTTTTAGAATGAGTCTTATTATTAATAATAATAATTCCATTTCTATACCACTTTATATTTTAAAGAAAAAATCTCAAACAGGTTGATAACACATTAAAGCATCAACTAAAACAATCCAGCATAAAGCACATTCAAGTTTCAAGGAAAACATTTCAGATCCTTTTCTAACTGCTGCCTACTATTCAGCCAAGGGATATAATAATCAGTTTCAAGCTTTAGTCCAAAAAGGATCTCTTGATGTAAAAGGTCACTGTCATGCCCCTTTTGGAGGAATGCTCTTTGAAGGATGACCTTGAGCTCTCCAAGGCAAACATTCAGGAGAAGCATCCTGTATCAAGGAACTGCAAGGCAGAGCAGGGGGATGCAGGTACTTCAGGGGTCACATCAACCCGCCCTCCTCCTCAAGTTAGCTAGCTATTTATTTCTATTTTCAGTGTGAAAAATGTTTATGTAATCTGATACTTATTATTTACTTGTTGCACTCCTGGTTTTGGCTTTTTGCTTGTCCTGGCCAGGCTGGTGCAGCGGCTAGTGAGTTTGGACCTCCAAATCTTTTCTCAGATAATGAATGTCACCGGAAGACCTTGGGAATAACACTCTGTCTCAGCTGAAGCTCATAGTCTATGACGTATACAAAGTAATAAAATAATAACCTCAGTTTGCTTATTACTTAACATTCTTTCAAAATTCAGATATGAGCAGAATAGAAATTTTAAGTTGCAGTACTACTGGGTCAAAGAAGAAACCAAGTTGTAAGTACTTGATTTCTGTTTAGGTATAGTTATTTTCCTTCCAAACTGAGCTATTTGGGTTGGGTAGCTAAACTGATACCTTTGCCCTGCTTCAAAGGTAATTGTCATCACAGATCTCATCTGTCTGTTAGGCTTATGCTTTTTGCTTACTTCAAAAACCAATTCATTCAGTATGTGGGAGACCTGAAAGGGGATTTGTCATTGCAGATTCTTAGAACTGGCACTCAGAAGCTATTCTGCAAGCAGACCCATGCATATTATACTGGAAGAAGCACACTTGACAGCATTGTTTGGACAACAGAAATACATTTTGTGACTATAAAATGCAGCAGTGTTGTGTGTTTCTTAATTTTACTGCAAGGCATGCTTTTCATTAAACTTGTTTCTCTCTTTCAGACTTATGATCCTCCTCTTAGACACTTGGAAGCTGAAGTCCTTTCAAATATGTCAAGACAGGCTGCATACCTTGTTGGGATGCTTTAGGAAGTGACTCTCAAGGCAGATGGTGTGAAACTGCTTTTCTGGACGGGGTTTCTGTAAATACTTGTCACTTGACTGGAGACCGGACTGCTGCCATGGATCAAAACAACAGTTTACCACCCTATGCCCAGGGTTTAGCATCCCCTCAGGTAAAGATGTGTGAATTTTGGAGCTTATTAGGAAACACAGATTTCAAAATTATTTACCCAATGAAAAGTGATGCAATGTTGTAGGCACTAGATCTTCCTCCTCTCATCTTTTTTCTCGGTGGGCTTGCTTCAAACTCTTTTGAATCACATCTAATCTATCTATGCCTGCCTGCCTGCCTGCGAAGATCATAGGGTGGTTTTACCTCTCCCTTCTCACCACAGGCCAGAACATGCTCTGGCCCTACCTTTTGCTCTGCCTCTTTAGTGGCCTCAGTGAAAGGGTAGTTGGCAAAGGAGGCAAGAAATACCACTGGCCCTCAATACAGCCATTGCCCTAAGTGGCAGCATGCTTGCTGATGGAGCAGTCCCTGCCACAAACTTACTACAGTCTCCTTCAACAGTAGCCAAGAATGCTTTTCTTGGACCCTCTCTGTTTTTTTGACTCTCTGGAAGCCAGTTCCTTGGCAAGAGCTGAAAATATTGGAGGCACTTCTTCCCTTCCTGCTTCATTCTTGTTTACTTTTTGAGTGGGTGAAGCATTAAAGACACAGACTCCTCCATACTGACTTCCTCACTGCCCAGACTCAGTTTCCAGCATTTTGTTTCTTTGATGTACCCTTGGCCTGAAAGGTGTGTGTGAGAGAGAGAGAGAGAAAGGGAGGGAGGAAGGGAGGAGACTCTAATTTCATTTAATTTCAAAATATAGTCTCAATTCATAATTATGGTTTAGACTTGAATCCTTTTTCAAAATATCTCAGTTAAAGTGAACAATGTGTGTCTAGATGGTTATTTGTATTATTGAAATTCCGAACTCTGACCCCCTTCTGTTGTTTTGTAATTTTGTTGTAATGCAATTTGATTGAAGGGAACAATAAGCAAACAATAGTTTGTTTATTTAGAGTATTTATATACCATTTTTCAGGTGGACTTCACATGAGGTTATTACAACAATAAGCATCACCTTCTTAAAAAAGAAGCTGCAATAGAATGGATGGGACAATTTGTTTAGAAAAAACTGTTACTGCTTCTTCTCCCCTCAGGGCAAGATGGCCCTTCAGACATCCCTGTGGTGAAAGTTGAGAGAAGGGAAAGTTGCAAAACACTGCAGGATTGCTTAAAAAGAACTGTTCTGCATATTTGGAATTTGCTGATCTTTTTTTAAAGAGTATGACATGTACAACTGAATTTATTTTAATTAGCTTCAACTAGTAATTCCCAAACTGTGTCCCAGGCATGGGGTATACTAGTGTGCCTTGAGGAATACATTTTGAAATAATAGATGCAATTCAGCATTGCACTCTTCCAGTTGCCCCACCTGCAAAAGCATTTCAGCTTGCTAGACAGAATGATCCCACCTATCTCTCCCAACCTCCCCAGAGCCAATGTTGGGGCACAAGGGGAAGTGGCGGGGGAGCACCATGATGCAAGCAAAAGTTCTTGTGCAGGGCTTCTGCTGGTGGCACTGAGTAGGTGACTCCTGCCCAACTGCATGTTCTGAACCCAAAACAGCTGCCCAGAAGGAGCTGCATCGCTTCATGATTTTACTGCTCTGTTCTTCCCTTGATTTTATTTTGCTTTCTGGTTGGCATTCTAGTGGTGGGCAACTCCGACACCTCTCTACATTGTATTTGGATAATTCAGGCAGAAATATTTGGGACACTTACTTAGGAGCAAGCCTCGCTGAACACAATTGGGCTTTCTTCTGAGTAAACATGCATAGGAATGTAGTGTCCGTCATCCCTGATGCAAAGACACAGAACTACCAGCCTCAGGGAAGGAATGCTGAAATGAAAGGGAAGCGCTCCTTTGAGTAGGTAGTTATTACTTTTACAGGTTCTGAAAATCAACCATTAAGGATATAAGAGCGCTGCATGTCTTTAATTTTAAGGGAAAGTTCCTCAGCCAGAGAGAAGCACTGACTTAAAAGTATCTCAGTGCTAATGAAAGCATATATGAGAGAAATCCAGTTTTGATCTACCCCCCCCCTTTCTTTTATTATGGTAACTGAATGTCAATTTCAGCCCTATTATAAGAGTCCAAGTAAAATAAGGTGATAACAATGCCTTGGAGAATACACATGGTAATATACTCATTCTGGAGGATCCTAGCTACTGTTTCAGTGCAATCCTGTGCACGTTTATTCAAAGGTAAAGCACACTGTGTCCAGTGGGTCTTACTCCCAGGTTAGTATGCATTGGACTGCACTATTGGTTTCAAAATAGAATCGGCTGTTTTTAAAGCAACTTAATGAATACTTAATCCTCTTCTTGATTGTTCAAAAACATCTGTGGTCGGCAGCATTCTCTAATTCTCTTCTCTTTTTTTAGGGTGCGATGACTCCTGGTATCCCTATATTTAGTCCCATGATGCCCTATGGCACGGGGCTCACACCCCAACCTGTTCAGAGCACCAACAGTTTATCTATTCTGGAAGAGCAACAGAGGCAACAGCAGCAAGCAGCAGCACAGCAGTCCACATCACAATCCACACAGGGTGCATCCGGTCAAACGCCGCAGCTCTTCCACTCACAGACACTTACTACAGCCCCTTTACCAGGAACCACACCTCTCTACCCCTCTCCGATGACCCCCATGACCCCAATAACTCCCGCAACACCTGCCTCTGAAAGCTCTGGGATTGTACCACAGCTACAGTGAGTGTGTAGTCTTCTCTTCTCCCTCCTGTGACCCTGCAATATTTTTAAACAGTGACTGTAAGCTCTTGTAACCTTCTGATCTTGGCTAGCAAATCTATCTTTTTTGATTGACTTAGGGCCAAGCAACTAGTGTTAAGCAGCAATAATAAAGTTCCTTTTAATGGCAGCGACTTAATTAAAAACCACTGAATAGTTGACATATCCCTTGCTTCCCGGACATCTCAAATAAGCCTCACAACATTGGCAAAAGATGTTCAGGCTTTAGCTCATGTTTTGGAATGTGGAACTTCTTAGGAATGTGACAGCTATAGAGTTCCTCTGCATCCCTGTGCTCTGAACTGGTTCACAGATGGGGAGTTCATGAGCACTCTCAATTGTTTGATTGTTCTTAGACAACAGGATAGGCTATAAGGCAGGAGTTGCCACTAATATGTTGACCATAAACTGTTAATGCACAATAATGTGGGACTGAGTGGGCTCCTGTAGTTTTACGATATTCAATTCTTTGTTGTGTTCAGAGACAATACGATAGCACCCTTTAAATATTTGTCACAGCTCTGATGGACCAAATGTATTTCCTGCTGTTCCAGATGGTAGGACCCAAATCAATGGGTTCACTGTGAGAAAATGGAACAGTGCATTGAGGTGTGGTAGACTTTCCTTTGTTGGAGATTGAGTGTGTGTGTGTGTGAGAGAGAGAGAGAGAGAGACAGACAGACAGACCGACTAATCTTGAAAATATATATATACATGAAAATTAGCACGAGACAGTAGCTCACGAGTCAAAGTTATTTCGGTTGTAAATCTTATAAGGCTGGTTGTGTCCTGGTATTCTAGTTTTTACTTGCTTAAATGCAGTTGCATAGTAGGGGATACATTCAAAATTTGGGGAAAAATCTAGCTTGCCTGGCATGTCTTTGAATTGTCTTTAGGAATATTGTGTCTACAGTGAATCTTGGTTGCAAACTGGACCTCAAAACCATTGCCCTTCGTGCTCGAAATGCTGAATACAACCCCAAGGTAAGATATGAGAGTCGATAGCCATTACCTGATGCTTCTGTTTCTGATTGCCCATGGGTCCAGCATGAATCTTTTTAGCTTTCTCATGGCTGGGGAGTCCCCAGTCTACAGGTCCCAAATTGGTCTGTGGGGCTGTTTCCCCAAACCAAGCCCACCTGCCCCACACCTGACATCATATGTCAAGAGTTGGACATAGGTAGTTCCACTAGAACAAATAATTCACCTGTTGGATCGAGTTTGGCAATTTCCTATCTTTACTCTTTAAAGAAGGTAAAACAATAAATCTAGCAGCATTGGTAGAAAGGATGCAAAAGTCACTTGCAAAGGTATTTCTAAAAGGGGAGTGACAGTTTTCACCTCTCCAAAAGCTCCTTGGCAAAAGTAATATTTTGAGTTGTCCATTGCATATTGACCATATTCAGATGCTATGTGAAATCAGTTTAGTATGTGAGAGTGAGCCTTGAGCTCACATAATTCTCTCCCATTTCTTTCTCCTGGGATGACTGCAAGGAGTGGAGAATCTTTCCTTCCCATTTTTGCTTATTCAGTTAGGATTAGTGGTGGAGAATGCAGTCTTTCAACTGTCCAGGGGAGTTCTGCACCTCTAAAGAATTGTTGGGGAAACCCAACTTCCTCTGCATGTTATTTACTGGGGGGAGAGGCACAAATGGATAAGACTGGCACTTCTGTTCTGCTAGATAACTGTTGCTCACATTTGGAGATTAGAGTCTCTATATAGTAAAAAATGATACTTTGTTGAAGAAAACTTTTTTTTTAGTGTTGAATCTAAGGAAGAACCTGCTACAATAAAAATGTTATATAATAAAACACTTAAAACAATTTGTAGAAGAGTGAGTTTGCAATACTCCTTGCAATATTTTTAACAAGCCTCCTGAATAGACACGTTTGGGCTGCAAAATGTGGCTTATATATCTTAAAGTGGAAATGAAGGCTGTTTATACAGCAAGATAAATACAGTGGTACCTCAGGTTACATACGCTTCAGGTTACACACTCTGCTAACCTAGAAATAGTGCTTCAGGTTAAGAACTTTGCTTCAAGATAAGAACAGAAATCGGGCTCCGGCGGTGCAGCAGCAGCAGGAGGCCCCATTAGCTAAAGTGGTGCTTCAGGTTAAGAACAGTTTCAGATTAAGAATGGACCTCCGGAACAAATTAAGTACTTAACCCAAGGCACCACTGTAATCCCTTTTGGAATGTGAGGTTCATACAATGGTACCTCGGTTTAAGTACTTAATTCGTTCTGGAGATCCGTTCTTAACCTGAAATTGTTCTTAACCTGAAGCACCACTCTAGCTAATGGGGCCTCCTGCTGCTGTGGCCGCGTGATTTCTGTTCTCATCCTGAAGCAAAATTCTTAACCTCAGGTACTATTTCTGGGTTAGCAGAGTCTGTAACCAGAAGCGTCTGTAACCTGACGTGTATGTAACCCGAGGTACCACTGTACTCTTATTCCTGAAGTAGTTGATTATAAATGCTTGCAAAATTATAAAGATGACTGAGGAGTGAATTATAATATAGAGGTGGTTGCAGCTTCAAAAATTACTTACTAATGTTTATTGGGATTCTTGTAGTAACAACCTTTTTTTTTTTTGTTTGTATTTCAGCGTTTTGCTGCTGTAATCATGAGAATAAGAGAGCCACGTACCACCGCCCTCATATTCAGTTCTGGGAAAATGGTGTGTACAGGGGCGAAGAGGTATGTGAGTCCATGGAGAATCTGCCCATTAATCTCAATGTCCAGTATAGTTTTATTCTCATTTCACTTGGGGGTTAACAGTCCAGCTCCCCAAGCACATTTACTGCACACACATGCACCGTATATAACATTTTGTTATTATTTACTTGATAAATAATACTTGGTAAAATTACAGTGACTCCTTTTCCCCCAGTGAGGAGCAGTCCAGGTTAGCTGCCAGGAAGTATGCCAGAGTTGTGCAGAAATTAGGCTTTCCAGCCAAATTCTTGGATTTTAAGATTCAGAATATGGTGGGCAGCTGTGATGTGAAATTCCCCATCAGGCTCGAAGGATTGGTACTTACGCATCAACAGTTTAGCAGGTAGGTAAAAGGTTATTGTACCAAGTGGTGAATACCACCTGCCACAAAATACAAGTGGATACGGCAACATATTCTCTTGTTATTATCTCTGCCATTTTAATGTTTTTTTTGTTAGTATGTTTAATCATTGCTTTGGATCTCCCATTACTACAGTATCCTGAATTAGGTGTATGCAAATAAGAAGGATTGCTTGTCAAGCTGTAGCCAATTTAGGACATTCTGTGGGTTGGATCCAGGTAAAAGTGTATAGCAGAAGGCTGGTTAATTTCCCCACCTCTCACCAAAAACCCTCTCCATGAAGGAGGACAGGCATCCACAGAAATCAGGCAGAGGCCCTTTCAGTGAGCACTGCTCACATTTGCAAAAGGTGCATGTATCCAGTTTTTGGAGATTTCCTATTCAGCAGAGTCCCCTGACCCCTGGGAGAAGCACTGAGTCAACTTCTGTCAGTGTCCTACTGCGCACTTTTCTCAGATCCAACCCTGTATCTATAAAGTTTTGTATACAAGAATTACAACATTTGAGACTTCTTCCATTTGCTAATATTTTATGATGTAATGATTTTATTGTATATAGCTGTATTTTAAATGAGCTGGTTGTTTACAAGCGTCTCTCAAAGAGAGAGGGGGAGATAGACTGATCTCATGAAGTCTTGGGGGCTAATGGTGTATATTGCTAGATGAGTAGCCAGAGAAAGTAAATCTGTATGAAAATCTTTTTAAATGTCAGCTTCCCATAAAGAGCTTGAAACAGGAGATGGCTCACCAGTTAGCTTAAGCCATATTTTGTCATTCTTACACAAAATATGTCATATATTTTGCTGCAAATGTCTGCTTTGGTATATCAGCCACAAGATTTAGTAATAACAAAAATTAACTTGTGGCAAGAGAAATAAAATGACTTTCACTTACAGACATCTCAATCAACCCACATTAGCTTAAGTTTCATTTAAAGATTTTACCTGTTTATTCTTTTCTTCCAGTTATGAGCCAGAATTGTTTCCTGGTTTAATTTACAGAATGATCAAGCCAAGAATTGTGCTGCTTATATTTGTTTCTGGGAAGGTAGTTTTAACAGGTAAGTTACATATGACATTTCTGCATTGAGTTAAATTGTAGTGCCAACAGGGGTGCCTAATAGTAATGATTTCTTGAAAATCCAAATTATTTTAATGTTGGCTTAGTCATTTTTTTGAAGTGTTGGTGTTTTGGTATTGCAAATGTGCTACAACTTCTGTCAGTGAACTCTTCTAAGAGTCTACAACTATGAACCAACTGCACAAATAAGAGATTTGAGCCATGCACTTCCTCCTTTTTCCTGTCCAAATTACAGGAAAATAATAAACCAGACACCCTACCTCTTGCTCTGTAAAAAAAAGGGTGGTACATTGTAGGTTTTTTTAAAAAAAATGTGATTGTATAACTAGTGCTTTGCCTTCTAGGTGCAAAAGTCAGAGCTGAAATCTACGAAGCATTTGAAAATATATATCCTATTTTAAAAGGATTCAGAAAGACAACGTAACAGTTCCTCATGCTCATCCAAGACGTTGGGGAACATTTTTAAAGTTACTGATTATGGCACAGCAGTAAAAGGAGACTTACAGACTGCAGCATCAGGCCTTGGAACATTTTCCCAGTTAGTGCCTAATTACCAGATCTCCACGGGGAGGGTGTTTGTGTTACATCTATACTGAGTTACCGTGAGTTGCTTCACTCGGCTCTCCTTGGAGAAACAACTCGACTTATTTATATTTCTAGCTTTTAAACAGTTTTAACATCTATTTTTAAAAAAATCGGAAAGCTTACGCTGGCAAATTGGTTAAACCGTGTTACTCAACATTTAACAGTTTTCTTACAGTATTCTTTCAACCATGAATTTTATAATCAGAAACTTTGATTCTACATTTTTAGACCACCTTTCACATTCCCTGTTTTCAGTATTCAGCAGGACAGAAAGTTGCTAATGAAAACTGATGGTTGTATATATATATTCCTCTATTTGGGAAGCAATTTTTTGAGTTCTAAATGTATAAATACATGCTGCTTTTGAAAATTGGGGAAAGAATTTGAAGAGTAAAAACCTGTGATTAACCTGATTGGCTTCTGCTGCTGTTTTAATGTGCTAAATGCATGCTTGTAGCTTTCAGTGTATTGAATTGGTTTTTATAAGATTTCTTAACAATCCAGTATTAAAGCAATGTGTTTTGCCTTTTAAATTACTTTCTGTGTGTTTCTTAAGTATCTTTAAAAAAAACACGTTTAGCATATAAGCTATAGCTTAGTTCACACATTTTCTGGAACTGGTGGTCAATTCATGTAGTGGTGCAGCAGGCTTGCAGCCCTATAGGGATAAGAACAATTTAAAATGGGTCACACCTGAACACCTGATCATATGGAGCACCTGGTTACCTCCATGGTGGAGGGAAGTTTGTTCTTTTTCTGAGCACAGGGGGGAGCTTTGAAGAAGTCTAGCTCTAAAATTAAAGGTATAAAAATAAGGCGACTGTCTGAAAAATCTTACCTAGCTGCCGGCATGGCAAACTTTCACTACAATATAATAAAGCTACCTTAGCTAATGGTTTTATTAAAACAAAAAGGCAACTGTTATCATCTCATCACTGGATAAGCTCTTGCTTCTTTTGTTTTATCCATGTTTTGTGTAGATGTCCCAAGGGTAATAAACACAATTACAGGATTGGTTATGAAGTGAGGTATTTTAATGATGCGGAGTTAAATGTCCTGCCATTTAAACTTTGTAGATATTAAATAGTGCTAGAAATATCCTGCTTCCAGACGAATTCTTCGGTATAGTGGTTGCCTCTGTTACAGCTGTCGGCACATGTATAAATAGCTAGTGTTCCCCAGTCGATGCTTTCTCCAAGGCTGTCAACTTTTAGGTGATTCAGAAGTTGCGGCATAATCTTAAACAAAACACAACAGAAATGTTAAGTTACCTTTTAAGCTTTTTCTGTACTACATAGTTTAGAAGGCACAGTGATCAATTCTTTATAGTCTTCAAATCTTAGCTTCCAGCCCCCGTAAAAGCAACAGGATTAGTTGGGGTGGGGGGAAAGAGATAAACAGCACCATTCAAATACTTCAGCAAAATCTGGAGAAAATTTGCAGCAATTACCTGTTCTAAAAAGTTTATTTAGCACTTGGCCAATAAAGCAAGATGAGCGCCGCAACCCCAGAGTCGGCCATGACTGGACCTAATGGTCAGGGGTCCCTTTACCTTTACGTTCTAGTCAACAACCCATTTTTAATTTAAGTAGACTATAGTTCCAAAAATGTGTATCATTGAACTCCTGACTTCCCACAATTCAGGCTACACAGACCTTGGCAAGGACTGAAAGAAAATTTAAGTAGAACTAATAATTCATTCCTAAAATGCTCCTCTGCTGCGCATGCATACACACACACACACACACTTCTTACACACAATTTAACCAGATTTCCATACCTGGAATTCAAACACTCTTTTACTGCCACATAAACAATTGGGGATGTCCGTCTCCTGAGGAATGTTTTCTGCGGAAATCCAGAGTGGGCCTTCTCCATCTCTACAGTATCTGATAATCTGAGATTAAGAGAGATCACAGATGGAGTTTTAAATTACATGGAAAGGCCCCAAGACTTCAGTCCTTTTAAAATTAATGAAACCTGAATGAAAGCTCCATTAATATCAATGCCAGTAAGTGCAATTTAACTTCTCTGAACTGGGGCAAAAGGTTATGAACGAAAATGAAATATATATGTCATCCCTTCTGTGGAACAATGCTGTGCTGCTGGTCACCCCACTCAAATCTTGTGCCTCCATGGCAATCATGTTAGCTGTTTCCTCTACAACCTCTAGAACCAATCCTTGCTTTATTTCAGGATGCTAAGAACCAGAGACTTCCTTCAGAAAATGTAAGTCTTACTCAAATAAGAACATCCTTACAAAACAGTAAGTGATGAAAAGGAAGCATACCGCTGAAACCACTGATTAAAGTATAAATATGTCAAATACAGGCAACCAGCTATGGAGGCAACTGAATCAATAATAACAAGGGTTTTAAGGAGATTGCTGAAAAATTAATGTGTCTTCACTGTGGAAGACTTGGGACAGAGGCAACTAGTGACAACAGGTGAACTTCTAGGCCTTCCTTCTCAAGAAATTAAAAATCACAAGGTCTGAATGGTTTCTAGTCAAAGGTTCTAAATGAAATGTGAAATTGCTGATCATCTAATAAAATTATGTAACATCCCTTAGCAGCCATGGGATAAGAGGACAGGTCCTCTTTTGGATCAATAAAAAGTTAAAGAAAGGGTAGCAGAAGGAATAAGCAACAGGTTGCACAATAAAGGGATGTAAGAAGTGAGGTCCTAATAAATAATAATAATAATAATAATAATAATAATAATAATACTGGCTGGGTTTTCCCAGCCACTCTGGACGGCTTCCAAGAAAAGATTAAAAATACATTAAAACATCAGACAGTAAAAACAGGGCTGCCTTCAGATGTCTTTTAAATGTAAGATAGTTGCTTATTTCCTTGACATCTGATGGGAGGGCGTTCCACAGGGCAGGTGCCACTACCAAGAAGGTCCTCTGCCTGGTTCCCTGTAACTTTGCTTCTCGCAGTGAGGGAACCACCAGAAGGATCAAAGTTGGAACCTGTGCCTGTTCATAATTTTTCAGGGGCAGTGAAGTGGCTATGCTTGCTGACCAAATTATTCCGGTTGGTAAAAACAAAAAGGGATTGAACAGCTTGAAAAGGATCTCCAAACCAGATGAATGGGGAATAAAGTGGCAAATGCGGTTTGGTGTACAATGATGAACACTAGAGCAAAAAAATCCTTACTTTACACTGATGATGTGTTGTGAGCTGACAGTGACTGACCAGGAAAGGCATCATGGTAGGTAGCTCAATAAAAATGTGTGTGGCAGCTGTTAAAAAAAGGCAAATACCAAGGTAGGGAGCCTTAGGAAAGAATTCTGAAAACAAATCTAATATCACAATGCCTTTATAAAAATCTGGCTGCAACCACATTTTGAGTAGCATACAGTTCTGGTTGTTGCATCTCAAAAAGAGATTGAGAAGCACACGTATGCCTCTGTCAGGAAGAAAAAGGAGATATGTAACATGATTATTATAAATAAATGTAGGAGTAGCCAAAAATGGTCCGAGAACTGTAGCAGTTCCACTATAAGGGAAAGTTACAGAGTTGGCTCTTTTTAAATTAGAAAAAATGAGTAGGGCGAGGGAACATGATATGGTGTAAAACATGGATAGTGTGAAAGAACTGGATCAAGACATCTTTCTCCATCTCTCGTGATACTAGAACTTCATTCAATGAAGCTGAATGGTGGGACACAAACGGAAGTACTTCATCACACAGCACATAATTTAACTAAAAAAGAACTAGTTGGATATGCTATACAGTGGTACCTTGGTTGACAACCATAATCTGTTCTGGACGCCCGTTTGTAAACCAAAACAGGTTGTAATCCAAGGCACGCTTTCGCCAATGGGGCCTCCAAAAAAAAAAATTGTTCATAATCCAAAAAAAATGGGTGGAATCCAAAAAAAGGTTGCAAACCAGGACACGCACTTCCAGGTTTGACGTGTTTGTAATCCAAAACGTATGCAAACCAAGGTACTACTGTATATAACAGCAGGCGAGAGCTATTCTCATGCCCAGCTCATGGGCGAGCTCTCCACTTCTGCCAATTTTATCATTTTAAGTTGTTTTTTTTTAATGTAAAACAATATTACCATTTCTCTTAGGTAGCCACCCTAAGCGGTGCCACTACCTAATTCCCCTATTCTAAGATTTCATTTGGGCCAGATTTCTGATCTTCACCACATATTTTAGTACTTTAGTGGCATGAAGACCTAGTTGTTAGAAAATTAAGCAATACTGACAGGATTCTAGGCTAAGTAACAAATGACAAACAAGCATTACTATTGTACTCATATTTTTTAAAAAATAGAGGGAGCCACAGAAAAATGCATTTCAAAACCTGTTCTGGTTCCGAAGAAATTTTCTCTTTAAACTTCTGAAAAATCTTGTCATCTTGGGTTTCGTGTTTTGCCATTGCTTCCAATGATGTCTCATCTAGAGAATCTGGTGCTTCATCTAAAACCCAAACAGATTAAAACTTTATAGTGCTAAAATCAGCAATGCTATAGTTTTAATAAGCAAAATTAAAATCTTCAGAAGGTTTCCATGAGAAATTAGAACAAAGTATGTTAAGATGACGAGTTTGATTTGCATAGTGTAACTTGTTTAAAATATTCCTTTTTGCGAAATATTTCTAAAAGAAAAGGCTGTGTCTTGTCAGGGAGATTATGCATGTAATCTTTTTCAAGTTTGTGTACTTTTTGTTTATTGTTAATCTGTATTACTTTTATACTATGCATTCCTTTGTCAAACTTTTCCCGATGACTAGATACAGAAAAACAAAACTTAATTCAATCTAACTTAAGCACATACTAACTTGGAGACTTACTTACATGGAGCACAGTGATATTTAAATATAGAGAAATGTATCATGTTCACAATTCTTCTGCTCTTTTGACCTCAATTATTTTCAAGTCTACGCTACAGGCGCATAGCATTTTATGTAAAAGCAGGGGTGGTTAATCTGTGGATTTTGTTGGGACTAAAGATCCAAACATTTTTGACCACTGGCCATACTGGTTAGGGCTGGTGGAAAATGGGAATTCAGCACCATCTAGTGACATAGGTTAGCCACCACAGGTAAAAAACCAAAAGTACAGTCATACCTTGGTTTTCGAACAGCCTAGTTCTCGAACGTTTTGGCTCCTGAACGATCGAAACCCAGAAGTGACTGTTCCGGTTTTTGAATGTTCTTTTGGAAACCGAATGTCTGATGGGGCTTCTGCGGCTTCCAATTGGCTGCAGGAGCTTCCTGCAGCCAATCAGAAGCCGCGTTTTGTTTTTCAAATGCTTTGGAAGTCGAACCGACTTCCAGAACAGATTCTGTTCGGCTTCCAAGGTACAACTGTAGTATAATTTAATAACAGGTCTTGCAGCAAGGAAATTTATTCATACTACTTACCTGTATTGGCGGCAGGTGTCAATTCTTTTTTGTCCTGATCTTCCTCTTCTGTTTCACTGACATTGGAGGAGTCAGTTTCTTCAGGCTCTATCACAATTTCATACTCGGGGAAAAGAAATTTATGATCTGGAATAACAACATCCAGCT